GTCGCTCTCTACGCCTATTATATCCGGATGCTTGCTGCTGCTGTTGCTGCGACAGCGTGCTGCGTGAGGCTATAGCCTATAATAAAATAAAACATAATATAGAAGAGAAATGATAAAATATAATATAATATTGCAGATATTCTGACGGTCATCTGTACCCTTGGCCGTCCGATGTGGCGGCGGATGTACCAGTCGGAACGCGCACATGAAACAATAATATTTATGTATATAATATAATAACATTCTATGTATATCATAATATTATACCATGGTACCTGTGCAGGCGGGCGAGGCGGCGCGCGTGTRCAACCGAACCGGTCCGCCGCACGAGACGTGTGCGCGGCGTCGGTGGGGGCAGCACGCCCCGCCCGGTCCGCTGGGTGACCGTCCAATCGGCTGGACCCGAGGCCCGACCAGCATCCAATCCTCCGGTCCACCTCGACCGGTGCGCGCACACCACGAGATCCAAAGCGGACGACGACCGATGTTAAAACATCACACGGCATTTACCGTCGCGCGTAAGGTCCGTCCATCAGTCCGTCCGTATCTCCCTCTATCTCGGCCACCGCCGCCGCCGCCGCCGCCGCCGCCGACGAGGGTGCCGCCGCGTCGTACGCGCGTCTCTCGAGGAGACGTTTCTCGCTCACACACCGCCGCCGACAGAGAGTCTGCGTGGTGTACCTATATCCGTACCTACTCGTGTGCGCTCACCCCGACGCGCGTTTTATAACGACGACAGTTTTTTTTTTTTGTTTATTTTCACCGCGACCGCTCGTCTGTGGGCACATGTTACAATCATAATAATAATAGGTATTTAACTAGTTATTATAATATTGCCTATATTGTTTTATATATATTATTATATACGTTTCGATACGAATTTTTCGCGTGCGCCAATGTGATGCTGTTCAAAGGTAACAGTAGTCGCCTACAGTTACTCATCGAAAAGATACAGTCCAACAATAAGGACAACAACGACGAACAAGACATAGAAGGTATATTATWCAATATCATGATATATATTATATTTTTGTAACCCCGATATTACAAGACGCGTTTTCCCGCGAATAATATTAACGACGAGGKTGCAGGGTCGTTATAAGTTTTCGGTATTTTCCATTTTCGCTTTGGTTCTATTTTTTATACATACCTATGTTCAATTTGTGTAGATATATTATGTATGGGTAACGATTTTTTAACGATCAAACCAAAGTTCTCGTATTTCATAAATTAAAAAAAATATATATTAATGTTTATATTTTAATATACCTGCCATGGGTACAAGCATGATAAAGCATTTTTCGAACCCTGTACGAATAAACGTACACGTTTTATTTAAATATCAACATCTGTGGCGCCAAATCGTATGCTTGGATGGACTTTTGTTTGTAAACTTTATAGGAACGTGAAAATCTGTATTTTTTCTTAATGACATGCATTAATGGTTCAGGGCAGTTTTTTTATTGCAACATAGTAAACTTTGTTTTACCCTGTTAATGTTGATAAATACAAACATAATTGATGATCAATGACAATATTATACGGATGGGCAGTAACTGGTGATTACAGTATATTTTAACATCAATTGAATTTTTTTAATACTAATCATAACTTTATTGAATAATTTTTGGGGTTTGATTCAATAGGGGTTTCAGCGTGTTAAATAAATTATTTTATGTACATCTACGGTTTATGGTATGTTTCAATTATAATCTTTATTGCTAGTTAAAATATTGTACAGGTGAAAAATATAAAAAGAGAGATAAACAAGTAGAATTACTTTTCAATTCTTCACTGAGGTGGAATCTCTTATCAAAGAGCAAAAGTGCTTAGCTAAACTTGGTGTGAGACAAAACAATAAAAAATTTACAATAAATACTATATTTTGGAAAACTATATGACATGCATTAAAAAAATATACAACCTATATCTAGTTTAATTAAAAATTTTTAACTTCGTAGGTTGGTTTATYACTTCTTGCTAAATGTTGTATATCTAACACATATGCATTAATAATAAAAGGATAGGGAGTAGCTAGGACATGCACTCAGTTTCAACGTGGTAATCAGTTTGACAGCCGAAGGGTTTATTTTTATGTTGGATAAGAAAATTWAAAAATGCCTTATTTTACTATCCTAAAATGTATGTATAGGCACCTAACAGGTATTTGTATTATTTATTTATTAAAAACTTAATAAGGTTTCGTGTTGACCATTCTATTGTAATGTTAAAAATATTATAGCCTCATAATTGTGTTTGATATTTAAGGGAATATACATTTAAATTTTTTGTTAAAAACAAATTGACCAGTAAATAATAAACTTACTGAGCCCACGTTTATAAATCAGATGCTGAAATATATGCTGGTATGTGTGACATTTCATAYTTAAAAATAATTTTCACGTTTTTTTTACAAAATGTTTACCTAAAAATTTTTTTATGTTTATATTTCATCATAAATATAAAAAAAATGCTCTTGGATAATGCATTCGAACCTATAATCATTATAAAATCATGTAATCTACAGTAGATTATTATAATTTAAACTGTTTATTTTTATTTATTTTTATTTTCAACATAAGACATTCCTAGCCTAGGCTATCTAAATCTACGGATATTTTGCAGTTTACATAGTTTTAAACTATTAAGTACTGCGTTTTTTGTCCAGTTCAAAAACCAGGAAAGGGTGGTAACTGTACATCACAATACTGCCACCAACAAACTATTACTACCTAGACTACCTATTAATAATAACAATAACAATATGATTATAATGTTTTAAACTGCCAAAATAAACTAAAAATAAAAATAACACAATCTCTGATATGTGTGTTTTAATCAATATTATATTGATATTTGAGACATCAAGTTTAATTTTTATATTTAAAACTTTTTGCTAGTTCTATAATTCACAAATTGCAAAGAAAAAAAATATGGAGTACAAATATTTACCTAATAAAAGAAAAAAACAGATAACAATAAAAAAAAAAAAGCTCACATTTTAATCTTATTACCTACCTACTTAATACATATTAAGTATTTATATATATATACATATTATGTACATATTACATACTATGTAGTATAACTATATACGTGGTATTTTAATGATTTTGTAATGGCCTGCAACTATTTTGGTTAAAATCGACAGTTAAAAAGCTGAATTGGTATGCCTGGTGGGAATACTTATTTTTATACTTCATAAATCTGCTTATTCAACTTCAACAATTTTTTCCATGCTGGTTTAAAATACAATAAAACAAGATTATGATAGAAATGAAGATCTAATAAGTTAACACGCTGGGTATTTTATACAATGCTATACCAAAAATGTCTTAAATATTTATTAAACTTTTAGAATTTACTACAGTTGTCAATATCCAGTTTTGTTTTTGACATTAATGTTTTAATCGTTTTATACGCATTTAGGTACTATTTAATACTACGGTTTTATAAGCAAAATATTATAATACGATATCTGTWGATAACAGTTATGATTTAAAAGTAAAAATCAATGCAAATAAAAAACCAACAAACTTAAATATAATTAATATTTAAAAGCATGTAGGTACTAATATTATGCAAATGTGTTAATGTTTCACCAGAAATATAATAAAGTATTGACTATATTATATGTATTAGGTAATAGACAAATTGGTAAAATATAACCTGAGAAAATATATAATTTAATGTATTGTATTTAATTCTATTATTATTATGTTAATATTATACATATTTTATGCAATCGCATAAATTAAATAAATAAATWAATTAAAAATTGATTAAATTTCCAGTTAAATTGTCGATAATAATTATAAATATCTAAAATCTAGACAATATTTAGAGTTATTATAATATCTTTAAAGTTTAAATGTAGTTGTGT